GGATGGATGGATGGATGGATGGATGGATGGATGGATGGATGGATGGATGGATGATTTGTTCCTTGATTTTATTTTATTTTTTATTTTTTGGAGAAAAATCCAGGCAACTAAGCTAATTCTGGTAATTTCAGTTACAGAATGTTATGCACTCCTATAGCTGATCCTATTTTTTGGTATAAATATAAAATTATGCAAAAAAGATTTGATACAGTAAGAAACCTAAAATAAATGTCATGTTGTAATCCATCCATCCATCCATTATCTTTACCCGCTTATTCCATTTTGGATCACGGGGGTCACCGGTGCCCATGTCCAGCTATCACTGTGCGAGGGGCGGGGGGCACCTTGTACAGGTCGCAAGTCCATCACAGCAGCACGGTGGCACGGTGGTAGAGCTGCTGCCTCTCAGCGAGAAAGTCGCCCCGGTTCACATCCCGGCCTGGGGGCCTTTCTGGGTGGAGTTTGCATGTTCTCTCCGTGCATGTGTGGGTTTTCTCCGGGTGCTCCGGTTTCCACCCACAGACCAAAAACATGCATGTTAGGCTGATTGGTAACTCTAAATTGTCTCTAGATGTGAGGGAGAGAGTGAATGGTTGTTTGTCTCTATGTGTCCCTGTGATGGACTGGAGACCTGTCCAGGGTGTCCCCTGCCTCTCGCATAGAGATAGCTGGACATGGGCACCTCGAAAAAGGAAGAAGCAGATGAAGGTAATGGATGGATGAATTTTCCTGTCAGAGAGCACTTTGCTCTCAGACTGCAGGTTTACTTGTGGTTCCTAGAGTTTCCAAAAGCAGAATGGGAGGCAGATCTTCCAGTTCTCAGGCTCCTCTCTCGTGGAACCAACTTCCAGTTTCTGTCTGTGAGGCTGACACATTGTCCAGGTTTCTCTTTCTTTTTTGATAAATCCTATAGTTAGGGTTTGCTTTGGTCTCCTGAGCTATCCCTTAACTGTGCTGCTATAGGCTTAGACTGCTGGACAAATTGACCACATTTCTTCATTTTGTTGCTGTCTTTGCTTACTCTACTCTACCTGTTTGTATTTGTAATTATTTCTATTTTAATGTGTGTTTTTGTCTTTCTTCCTATAGAAAGTACACCTGGACCTGCCTTTCTGTGTTCACTTGTTTCACCTTCCTGTCCTCTCAACTCCAGCTGGTCGAAGCCGATGGTTGCTCGTCCTGAGCCTGGTTCTGCTGGAGGTTTCTTCCTGTTAAAAGGAGTTTTTCCTTTCCACCATCTCCATTGTGCTCGCTCAGGATGGGAGACCGTGACGAAGTAAAGATTCAATGAATGTGCTGCTTCCTTAGATGGAGAACTTTTAGTAATTGACATTTTATGTAGGTGGATGTTTCTGTTCAGTGCCCTGAGATGATTTCTGTTGTGACTTGGCACTATAGAAATAAACTGAATTGAAAATCCACACCAATAATAATTAATACTAATCAAAATGACTGGTCCAAATCTGCCTGGTTTAATTTAAAGTGTCCTCCTGTACCTTAAATGGTAAAGCTGGGACGGCTGCCAGTGTATTCCCAATGTGCATCACCTAGAATACTGTTTTCTTGCCAGGTACATTAAAATAGACCAAGATTTTTTTTTAAACACGACCAAACAGCTCACAGGTCACAAACAGTCAAAATATGGTGAGACCAATCAACTTTCTCACGTTAGAGTTGCCAGCTGACCTCCAACACCCCCAGCTCTGGGAGCTTCTCCATTACCAGCTGTTTGTTGTTTGTGAGCTGTTGGTTTGATCCAAAGCCCAGGGTCATTTCTATATATCCAACCACTCTGAGAACCTCACACCCTGTGGAAAAACTAAACAGGCGCAGAGTCTTCTGCACCTCCTGAAATCTGCTGCTGTGAACACAACGGCTTTTAAAAAGGGAACAACCAGAGAGTTTACGTTTGGTAACACTGTATTGACTAAAGGATACCAGATATTTTATTAAGACCTCTGGAAAGTATTTAAACTTATGAAAAATGCAAAATGAAATAATACAAATTGTCAATCCCCCAGCAGGTCTGTCTCTGCAGTCAGTTGCTGTCATAACTGTTTTGTCTCGTCCAGCCTCATGTCCTCCCTGGTGGCCCTGTTCTCCTCCACCCTCATCATCTCGCTCGTCTTTGCCATCATACCCCTGTGTCACCACGTGGTGCTGCTGTCCATGGCCATGGCGCTGGCTGGCACAGCCATGGGTGTGATCGACACCATTGGCAACCTGCAACTGGTAAAGCTGTACCAGAAGGACGCCGCCATTTTCCTGCAGGTCTGAAGGATGGGTCTTCTGTGCTCATTTTGTTTGTTAACGACAGAAAAACTTGTGAAAAGACACAAACAAATCGAGCTTTGTTAGTTTGTGTGTTTACTACTGGCAAACCATCTGGGCTTTTAGATAAATCTGAATGTCTTGGGAATCATTTAATTTAAATCATTTACAAAGTTAAAAGTCTATTATTTCTTAAAGTATGTAAAGATGTAAATGATGTTACGAGCAATCTGTAGAGCTCAGAGCACGGGTTATGATTGACTGATCTGTTCTGAAAGTATCTCAGCATCAGTAAAAGAGACAGGTGCGTCAGAGTAAAGAGCTCAGCCGTGGAAAGCACCTGGAATGTGTACACTCACAAACACAAGTAAAAACAGATGAAACGAATGCATGGCCTGCTCGTCTATAATGCAGTGACATTACTGAGTTATTGAGGTACACTTCAGAGGTACACCTTGTGCTTATTACTACCACGCAATAATCATTGTGTAACGTTTTGAAGTGGTTCAGATGTGCATAGTTATCCATCAAAAACTGATTCTGACCTTTGTTCATTTTTACTTAAACGAAGATTTAATTTTATCTGACAGATCACTCCTGACTGAAATAAATTTGAGGTTTGTTTAAAGGAATTAAACTTTAATTGGTCTGTCAGTGTAAATGGTAAATGGACTGTACTTATATATCACCTTTCTATCTAATCAAGATATTCAAAGCTCTTTACAACACAATCTGTGCCTCATTTACCTCTACACACACATTCATACAGCTCTCTACTACACACATATTCATACAGCTCTCTACTACACACACACATTCATACAGCTCTCTAC